AATATCAACGATGAGAGAGAATCATTGATTGGCTGCCTTCAGCACACCTCCTACTGGGGATGGAGCCCAAAACCCGGGCATGTGCCCTTGACCGGAATTGAACCCGGGACCCTTCAGGCTGCAGGCTACCGCTCTATCCACTGAGCCAAACCAGCTAGGGTGGTTGCCTTTTCATTTTATTGATGGTTTCTTTTGCTGTGTTGAAGTTCTTTGGTTTGATGTAGACCACTGGTTTATTTTTGCTTTTGTTGCCTTTGCTCTTGGTGTCAAATCCAAAAAAATCACTGCAAAGATCAATGTGAAGGAGCTAACCCAGCCGTGGGCAAACTACGGCCCGCGGGCCGGATCCGGCCCGTTTGAAATGAATAAAACTAAAAAAAAAAAAAAGACTGTACCCTTTTATGTAATGATGTTTACTTTGAATTTATATTAGTTCACACAAACACTCCATCCATGCTTTTGTTCCGGCCCTCCGGTCTAGTTTAAGAACCCATTGTGGCCCTCCAGTCAAAAAGTTTGCCCACCCCTGAGCTAAGCCCTATGTTTTCTTCTAGGAGTTTTATGGTTTCAGGGATTACAGTCTTGAACCATTTTGAGTTGATATTTGTATATAGTATAAGATAGGAGCCCAGTTTCTTTCTTTTTTCCCCCCCTGCATGTGGACATTCACTTTCCCAGCACCACTTAATGAAGATACTATCCTGTTTTCACAGCACCATGACATAGATAATGGAACAGAAACTATTTTGTTCCATTACCTATGTATCTGTCTTTATACCACACTGTTTTGATTACTATAGTTTTGTGGTATAATCAGAAAGAGTGATACCTCCAGCTTTGTTTTTTCTCCAGATTTTTTTTTTCTGTTTGGGGTCTTTTGTGGTTGTATACAAATATCAGGATTGTTTTTCTATTTCTGTGAAAATATTATTGGAATTTTGATAGGGATTGCATTGAATTTATAGATGGCTCTGAGTAGTATGAACATTATTGATTTTAGAGAAACATTGATTTGTTGTTCCACTTATTTATGCATTCATTGGTTAATTCTTATATGTGCCCTGACCAGGGATCAAACCCGCAACCTTGGCATATCGGGAAAACGCTCTAACCAACTGAATTACACAGCCAGGGCCTAGAATGGACATTTTAACAACACTAACTCTTCCAATCTCTGTATCTTGTTCAATTTCTTTCATCAGTGTTTTATAGTTTTTAGTATACAGATCTTTCACCTACTTGGTTACATTTATTTCTAAGTATTTTATTGTTTTTGATGCTATTGTAAATAGCACTGTTTTCTTATTTTCTCTTTGATAGTTGTTTGATAATTCATAGAAATCCAACAGATTTTCATAAATTGGTTTTGCAGCTGTACTGAATTCATCCATCTTTTATTCTTTTTTGTTGTTGTTAATCCTCAGCCAAGGATATTTTTTCATTGATTTTTAGAGAGTGGGAGAGAGAAGGAGAGACAGAGAGAAACATCCATGTGAGAGACACACATCGATTGGTTGCTTCTTGCACAGCCCCCGACCAGGGTTGAGGAAACTGCAACCGAGGTACATGCCCTTGACCGGAATTGAACCTGGGACCTTTCAGTCCACAGGCCAACGCTCTATCCACTGGGCCAAACCAGCTAGGGCCATCTTTTATTCTTAAAGCCAGCTATACACAGGATTGATCCTCTGGACTCTCCCTTAGCCTACATGGAAGGACACAAACACACAGTACACAAGATGTACTATATGACTTTCTCCTTAGTGTAATGGAAAAGTCCTCAAGAAATTCAACCCTTGCTGTTATATTCCAGTTCTTAATTTTTCTCCCCTATTCTTAGATACCAATCTCTCTGCAACAATGCTTCCTTCTCATCTCTCAAAGGAAGCCTTCATTCATTCTTTGGAACAACCCACTCCTTCAGGATGGATTGTACTGTACTCCCAGCAGTATATTCCTCAAATTTTGGAGACTGTTCTGAACAGAACGCTTCCCATGAGTGAATACCACCCTCAGTACTACTGACATTTTAGACCAAATAAGTTTTTGTTGTGGAGGACTGTCTTATGCATTGTAGGTAGCATTCCTGGCCTCTACCCACTAGATGCCAGTAGCAAAACTCTATTTTGAAACTGAAAGCTGTTTCCAGCAGGGTTCTGTTCTTCCAAAGAGGCAATTATTTCTATTGGTTCAATCAGTGGGGGTAAGGATGGGCCTACCAGAACAAGAGATTATCAGGGAGGAAAATCTTTGAATTTAATAGCCCCCCTAAATATTACACTGAGAATACATTCTGAGAACATAATGTATGAAGTTTGAGTACACAGATGGAAAAGCAATGTTACCATAAGCAACTTTGGAAGAATGAAACTCATTTTTGGAATGTATCACTGGTGCTCCCCAATATCCAGTTCTCCCTTCCTTCCTGGGCATATAGAAGACTAGACTTCCCAGTCCTGCTGTGGTTTGACGGGGCCAGGTGAGAGGTCTAGCCAGTGAAATGTGAGTGGATGGGAGAGGGCCAAGGCAGTGAAAAGCTGCTGGGTGGTGCTACAGAGTTCCTTTTTCCTTTGAATATGGAGTCTCAAATTGAGATGGCTGAGCTAAAAGATCAATTAGTCTGGTTTATTGAGATACTGCTTGAAGTACAGTTACCCTGGACAGTTGCCTCGACTTTGCGTGAGTAAGAAACAACTGGTTATTATGTTAAGACACTGCAATTTTGCAATTGTTTATTACCAGAGCACAAGCTAGACTATTTCAATATAACATCCTCTTTCGGCCACTGGCCTATTTCCTAACTAATGAAGGTAACTGTGATTAGGGAAGGTGAGGTGTTTTGCTAGAAGAAATCTAATTTTTTTACAAATAATAAAATAATTACTCATTAAAATATATTTACCGAGGGCTTAGAATGTGCCAAGTACTGGACATAAACAGTATATTAAACAAACACAATTTTTGCCCTCATGGAGCTTATATTCTAGTAGGAAAGTCAGCGAAAAAGTAAATCAACAAACAACATACTTGCGAGTTGGGATAAGTTTATGAAGGAAATAAACAATGGCTGAATTAAATATTAACAAATGATTGAACCCTTTTCTTTATTTTCCTATCCTGTTTATCAGTAAATTCTTCAATGTTTAACTCAAAAATATATCAACGTGGTTCACTCCTGCTAATGTTAGCTTTCATGATCTCCTACCTGGATTTTTGAAATGGTCTCATGATCCTCCCAGGTTCCATCTTGTCTTCCTCTTAATGCATCCACTACACAGTAGCTATTTTATTTTAACCTAGAATATTTTAATTAAAATAAAAATTTAAAAATTGTGATAAAATAAACATATATAGCAAAAATAGTATGTATACTGTAAAAATTACATAAAAAGATAAGCAAAAATAAAATACACATTTTCACTTTCAAAGATTGTAACTGCTAACACCTTAGGGCAGTGATGGCGAACCTATGACACGTGTGTCAGAGGTGACATGCAAAGTCATTTTTTTGATTGATTTTTCTTTGTTAAATGGCATTTAAATATATAAAATAAATATAAAAAATATAAGTCTTTGTTTTACTATGGTTGCAAATATCAAAAAATTTCTACATGTGACACAGCACCAGAGTTAAGTTAGGGTTTTTCAAAATGCTGGTACGCCGAGCTCAAAAGGTTCGCCATCACTGCCTTAGGGTATAATGCTAGATCTTTTTTTTTTTTCATAGCACCTAAAAGCACTGCATTTTGTAATCAAAATGAGATATTGTAACATAGAAAGGGGCGGGCAAAAGTAGGTCTACAGTTGTATGGGCAAGTTTATTCTTCTATTATTTATGAGTTATTGTATTATTTATTTGTATTACAACTGTCCTGTGGCTTGCTCTTCCTAGTTAATGATCTCCACCTTCCACGGCAATACATTTTCAGCATACACTCAGTCCATTTACATTAAAATTTCCTCAATTGTCCTGAAAAATGCATTTTATAGGTGGCCTGTTCAAACTAGAATTTAATCCAGACTCTTATGTCCCTTAAAATTCTTTTCATAGAGTAGAGTAGTGGCTTTATTCAAAACAATAAATTATTGAAGAGATGGGGCCAGTTATCCTGCAGAATGTTTCACCTTCTGGATTTGTTTGGTTACTTCCTATGGTGTTGTTTACTTTGCTCCAATAGATGATATTGTGTACTTCATACTACATCTCATCAAGAGATACAATATCAAATCGATGCATAGGATGGCCTTTTAAAATAACTGTATAATGTCACTGTTGTTTAAATGCCATGTATAGCTTTCTTTGCTTTATGCTACAATACAAATTCTTTAACTTGGCATACAAGGTTCTGAAGGATTTAATGCTTGCTTCTGTTAGGTCTGACTCAGCCTTTTTGCTTTATGGAATAAGGATGGAGGTCATTTCTTCCATCTGAGAGGAGATATCAAGATCATAAGGTGATGGAATTTAATTGTAGTTGGCTGAAACCCTGCATAGATTCCTCATGGTTGGAGTAAGGGGTGGCAGCAGCATGATTTCCCCAGACTGGTTTGGTGAAGGCTTGAGAGCAGTCCTGAAGATGAAAAATGATGCAGAAGACATGAGCCAAAAATGAGGATGAGGAATAGGAGTGTTAATGGTCCTATGAAGGAAAGTAGCCAGGTATACCAATTTATATTTTTTAGCCAGTAGTCACATGAAGTTGATTGACGTTCTCTAGTCTTTGTGGCCCTTTCTGTTAATTTTTGGGTGGCATCCCTAACTAGGCCAGACTGATTGACATCTTCCAGAAAGAGGCATAGACTTACTTTCTCCGCAGTTAGGAGGTGTAGTCCTCTCTGATTTTGGAGGGGGACAGTTGCTAGTGAGTTTATCTAATCCTGAATTTGAACTAAACTTTTGGCAATGTCATCTAGGCTTTCCTGTACGTCCTGAGACAGAAATTCAAAAGATGATAGAGCAGTGGTTAAATCCCCTATGCCAATCCCGACACCTGCTGAGACACTGAGGGTTATGAAGAGAGGGATTATCTAGACTGCCCTTTTGTGTTAGATATGATGGGTTACAGAGACAGGTAAAGACTGAATATTGGGTGAGAGAGAGATTAGAGTACAGGTTCCTGTCCAGTTGATCGTCCCTGTTTTGAGTGGAATGTGGTCTCCTGTTAGGAAAGGATGTAGAAAAAAATCCCTTACACCTGCCAAAATCATTAATTACAGCAGTGTTTGATTAGGATGCTGGGTGGAGTTTGCTGAGGTATGCCCAGGACGAGCTGTCACTGCCTACAGCTTTCAGAGTAGCAGACTCAGTGTGACTGAAGCCAGGAACCCTCCTGGGTTTCAGAACCAAATGTAAGGGTCCCTGAAGGAACACATGAGGCCAAAAGTGGTTAAGAATTATAAATTTACCAGAGGCCTGGTGCATGAAATTCATGCACTCGGGGGGTGGGGGCCCCTCAGCCCGGCCTGCACCCTCTCGCAGTCCAGGAGTCCTCGGGGGATGTCCGACTGATGGCTTAGGCCTGTGGAAAGTGGGCCTAAGCTGTCAGTCGGACATCCTTAGCACTGCAGCGGAGGTGGGAGAGGCTCCCACCACCGACGCTTGCCAGCCGTGACCTCAGCTCAGGGCTTCTGGCTGAGCAGCGCTCCCCTATGGGAGTGCACTGACCACCAGGCAGCAGCTCCTGTGTTGAGTGTCTGCCCCCTGGTGGTCAGTGCACATCATAGCGACTCATCGTTTGGCCATTCAGTCGATTTGCATATGAGCCTTTTATTACATAGGATTGGGTCATCTGGAAAACCAGATGGGCTGAGCCCAAAAATGGCACCAGCCTACAGGGATGAGGAGGCAGAGATTTCAAAGAACTCTGAGTGGGCTTCTTCGGCTGGGAATTCTCTGGGCGGGTCCAGATCTTGGGCAAGTCCGAGAGGAAAATTACTGGTCTTAGCAAATGAATGTGGTCTAAGCTAAAGGAAATGTCGGTTGCAAAATGATCTAAAAGTTCGTTTCCCAGAGGGAGGGAGTATCGATTTGATTATTTGATCAGACCTAACTGCTTACCCTTCCAACTTTATTTCATTCCATTCTTTCCTTGCTTTTTTAAAGTGTTCCCCACAGTGTTGGCTTCACCTCCCTGCAGCTGCTCCGAGGGCCTCTGCACTTGCTGCCCCTTGCTCTGGGAAGCTCTCCCTTGCCACTACTCTCCTCGCCATTTCCCCCTTCTTCCAATGTCAGGCATCTTCTCAAACTGGTCATTTTACCTTCGCCTTCTCAGGAAAACCTTCTCTAATTTATCTTGTGTAAGTTAGGTTCTTCCAAGGGATCCTCATAGCCCACATCCCAACAACCCTGATTTTTGTTCCATGAAACTTTTTTTTTTTTGGTCACTTTAGCATTTGATTCCTTACCTGAAGTGTGAACGGTAGGGACCTTGCCTCCTAGGCTTACCGAGCACTCACTACTAGTGCACAGCAGCGGGGAATGCAGTGCCATCGGTCTTGCCCAGGTCGCCGCACACTGTCGCGGGTGGCAGTCACAGGACCCCCCGAGTTGTCCGAGTGAAGGAATGAATGGTTACTTTTGCATGAAAGCGTCTGTCCACCGGTCGCGGCGGCACGGAAACCCAGGCTCCCACCCGAGACGAAAGCCAAGCCTTCCTCGCGCAGCCCGGGCCCGTTTGGGCCCAGGTGAGCGGGAGCCACCGCCCCGACTCCCCCACGTGATCTCGGGCGGCGCGCGGACGGCGCCTGCGCGCGAGCTCCCGGAAGTGGCCGGACCGAAGCGCCAGCGGAAGCGCCCGTCCGTCCCCCGGTGGGTCCGCCAGTCCGCCAGCCCGCTCCCCGGCGCTCCTCGGCCTCGTCGCTGTCGTCCCGCAGTTTCTTTGGCCGGCACGGCGACGGAGGAGCTCGCCATGGCGACGTTCATCTCGGTGCAGCTGAAGAAGACCTCGGAGGTGGACCTGGCCAAGCCGCTGGTGAAGTTCATCCAGCAGACGTACCCGAGCGGCGGGGAGGAGCAGGCCCAGTACTGCCGCGCGGCCGAGGAGCTCAGCAAGCTGCGCCGCGCCGCGCTCGGCCGCCCGCTGGACAAGCACGAGGGCGCGCTGGAGACGCTGCTGAGGTGGGCCTGGGGCCGGGCTCGGGCCGCCTGCCGCCCCCTCCCTTCCTCCTGCTTCCCTCCTTCCCTCCCTCGCACCCGGGGCCCAGACCCGGCCGCCCCGCTGGCCTGTTGGGGCGCGTAGGTGTGGTCTGCATTCCTTCCTGGTGAGCAGGAGCCGCCCCGCCGGCTGCCGCTGGCCCTGCCCGGGCTCGGGGCATCGGTGCTGCCGGTTCGCCGCAGCCCTCGGTCCTCCCGGCTCCGGGGGTCCCATACCCCGGAGGAACGGTCTGCCACGTACTGATCGATCTCTCTTGCCACATTTACTCAGAACTAGTTTTCTTCCCCCCCCCTTTTTTTTTGGTGTGGGAGGGAATGTATTTAATTTAGACTCTCCTCCCCCCACCTTTTTTTTTTTTTTTTTTGTATTTCTTGGCCAGATTTCAATTTCAAAATAGAGGTTGCTTGAGGGCTGTAGGAGAATCGGGACACTGTGGACAAATGCCTGTTACTTAACTACATTGTCCACTTGAAATGAGCTATCTTCGCAAGTTCATCATAATCGAATGACAGGTGGAAAATTCCAAGGGTTAGGAGCTGCCATTCTTTGAGGTTACACGTGTGAGGGACATAATAGAAGGGTCAAGAGAAATAGCTTAAAGTCACTTTGTCCACCAACAGGTATGCGCGTCCCGGAGTAAATTGGTTGTTTTACGAAGGCTTATGGAGCTCGTGCTGTCTTTAATGAGAGCTCTTTTTTTTCTGGTACTTTGCAGTTATAATAACAGAACACGTCTAGGGCACTTTACAGTTAAGACATTTCTTTCGCCTCGTCTCATTTTCTACGTGGAACATCTTCCCCTTGGTTAACAGGGCAGACACAGCTGTGCTGGGTTGTCCGTAGAAGCCCAGGTGACCCCAGCTTGTTTGTGCTGGTAACAGAAGTTCTGTGATGCTGCTTCCTTAGCTTTAGGGATCATCCGCCGGATGGATAGCTTCTTGCCTCCATGTGGATGCCTTCGCAGCTGAGCTTTGTTCCTGTGTTGGGAGAGATGGCCACCGGTGGGTCTGCTGCAATTACAGCGTCGTTACACTCAGGATCTTACATCCGAGAGGGCTGTTTCTCCTTAGCTCTGGTGGAGGAAGGCCATGGGAAGCCTCTGTTTGGGTTGGCGTGTGCCCATGTGTGATGGTGGTTAAAGGCGCTAATTTCATTGCCAGTCACTCAGCTGGTTTAACGTCTCCTCCACCATGGATCAGAGCAGTAGAGAAGGAGGAAGACCTGGTTCCCTCTAAGGGAAGCTACTGAATAGATCGCTGAGAGAGAGAGAGATGATGATCTCGTGGTGTCAGTTTTAAAGATAAGACTGTTGGGCTGTAAAGATCATTAATTTGATATTTAGTATGAGCATTTTTTTTTAAAAAAGTTAACCTAGGAATACTTAGGCATTCTTTAGAATTAACAAACTTTGACAGAAATTTCCAAAGCAACTTTTATGTAGGCATGAGTAGCATTCAATGAGGGCTTTCCATTAATAAACTAAAAAAAACATGAGTATAGTGAACACTGTGATAACAATCTTATTGAATAGAGTGTTTGTTTTGGTACCAACCCTTAAGGAGCTTGGAGTTTTCGGTGACAATTGATGCATGGATTTAAGGCTAACAGACAAGAAAGAATGAATAGTGGATTGTGGTACTGATAGGGTTCTGGTGTGAACTTTAAACCTTCATTCATTTGTTTATCCCTTTTTTCTTTTCCCAGGCATAAATGTGAAAAGGTATAGGGCTGTTACACAGATAGCCTCTTTGAAACTAACCATATTTCTTTAGTCTCCTTTATACGATCCTCTCCTAACTCATTTATCATCAACTACTCCCCCCCCCCCCCTTCTTACTCTTCTATTGGGGTTAGGATAAGTTAATAGATATACTACAGTCTATTACATTTTATAATGGAGGTCTGTACAAAAGGTTTTTGGGTATATATCTGTAAAAATCAAACATTTGTGAGATATGGGTTCCAATCAAACAAAACATCGTTTAATAATTATGTGGATAATTGTGTAAATAACATTAATTTACATATTTTTAACTTAATGAACTTTTAAATAACAATTTTCAAAAAGGAGGGGTTAAAATAATTCCTAAAGACAGGTGGTCTAGGACCATGCCCTAAAGCTTGATCAGTACTGGTACAATGCTCTACAAATAGGTCCAGTGATGGAGCTGCCTTTTTATTGTTACTATCATGGAGATGTCCCAGTAAAATTTCCTAAAATACTCATGTGTATTTGGTTGAGAATGAGTGTCATCTGTATAAAGTGGCTTTAACTAAAAATTGATTAGAAGAGCCTTGATAAATGGTGAACTTTAGGGTGATCAGACGGGAATCCTGTATCATAATTTGTGTGTGTGTGGGAGGGGAGGGGGAGAGGAAGCTCCAGTGTTCATGTCTTTTGTGGTGATTAGTATTTTTAGAGAGAAAGCTTGGGGTCTCTTTCCATGAAAAAGTTTGGTTGTCAGCTTTCTGAAATTTTACTGGGGAATTGGATGTTGGGGATCTCAACAATCATGTATGCAGTCTTTTATACCATCTATTTCTAGTCTGGCACCTGTATCAGCTTTGGATTCAGCTGCATGTGGTAGATCTCAAGTCATCAGGGAGTTAAATTATGATTTTATTCCTGTGTAAACAGTTGGTAGAGAGGTAGTTCTGATAGTCCATGGCTGGTATAGTGGTTCTGTGAAGTTCATCAGGCTCAGGCTCCGTCCAGCTTTCCACTCTGTACAACCCTTTTTCTCAGGGTCCAGATAGCAGTCATACCCAAGTTTAAGATAGCAGGAGGGGAGAAAGGAGATAGTGTGGAAACTGCCCCACAATACCCTGTTCATATGTAATTGCCCATTATGTATGTCTACATCTCATAGAAGGGTAGCATAAGAAAAGGAATTTTTATTAAAGGCAGCTGCATACCCAGCTAAAATCTGGATTTTGTTAGTAAGGAAGAAGGAGAGATGATGTTGACAGCACTCCTAACCAAAGCTTCTCAATCCCCATCCTCCCCACTTAGCTGTGCTTGATACCCCTAACATTTCCTCTAAGTCTGCTCTCCGAACAGAGGATCTGATAGTCAAAGGTTTCAAAGATTTTTCCACTGCAGTTTCCTCTTCCCAGCCTCATCTTTAAATCCTGTCTTCAGTGGTATCTCATGTTTCTTAATTCAGATTCTTGTTGGCTTCTCTGACTTGACTTGACTTGGTATATTTTGTTAGCTCCCTGCCCTCCAGGCAGTTAGATTTTCAGCTTTCTCTGCTTCATTCACTTTTCACCTTTTACAAAATTTCACTGAAACCTCTTGTATGCTGTTGTGCCCTTTCCCATTCTTCTTATCTTTGTGCATTTCCATCTTTTTAATTTTAATTAATTTTTTAGCCCTAGCCAGTTTGGCTCAGTGGATAGAGTGTCGGCCTGTGGACTGAAGGGTCCCAGGTTCAATTCTGGTCAAGGGCACATGCCCAGGTTGCTGGCTCGATCCCCAGTGTAGGGCATGCAGGAGGCAGCTTATCAATGATTCTCTCTCATCATTGATGTTTCTATCTTTCTCTCCCTTTCCCTTCCTCTCTGAAATCAATAAAATATATTTAAAAAAAGGAACCACAACACTAAAAAAAAAAAAATGTAGTGGCATTTTGGGAGGGAGCGGAAAAGGGTGTTTTTGTTTAAGTGAATAGGGTATCTGCATTTTCAGCTCTCCACAGTGGTTGCATCAATGTCCATTTCCAGTAGCAGGTATATGTGAGTTTTTTATTCTCCCACGTCCATCCTAATACTGATTAATAATTCAAATTAATTGTTTTTTTTTGCTATACTGATGGATGAGAGATAGTACCTTGTTTTAGGTCGCAGTGCCCTGATTTCTCAGAGGTCCAGCATCTTACATTTACTGGTCACTTTAGTTTCTTTTTCTGTGAATTGCCTGTTTTTTGTTTTTTTTCTTTGCTCATTTTCTAGGTTGCTAGTTTTTTCCTTACTGATTTTTAGGAGTTATTTACCTTTTCTGGCTATCCCTTCCCCTTATGTATATTGCAAATATCTTTAAATCTGTTTCTTAACTTTTAATTGTATTTATGTTGCCTTTTGTCACACAGAAGTTCTTGCAAAATGTTTTATTCTTCTTATAATCTGCTTTTACAATTTTTTTCTTGTTCCTAATGTTGTGAATGTGTTATATATGATTTTGCCCCTTGATCAGATTTGTTAAAGGTTTGTAGCCGCCTCCTTTTTAAAAAAAAAACATATTTCTCTTGATTTCAGAGAGGAAGTGAGAGGGAGAGAGAGATAGAAACATCATTGATGAGACAAAATCATTGATTGGCTGCCCCCTGCAAACCCCCACAACCTAGGCATGTGCCCTGACCGGGTATTAAACCGCGACCTCCTGGTTCACAGGTCGATGCTCAACCACTGAGCGATCTCTTTTTAAACACTAAGTCTAGTTTTATTTTAGGACCGTATGTTTTTTTTTTTTTCTGAGTCTGCTTTTGGCTGCATCCAGCTGGTTTTGACATATAGTATTCTCATTGATGTTT